TTATGGATGGTAACAGCGTACAAACTCACGGGACGAAGAGAAGGGATCCAAAGAAGTGCTTGTTTGTGTCCCTTCTCTTCCTCCTGTGAGTTAGTGCGCTGTTACCGCCTATAATGTATCACCAGCTAGCCCAACTATCAGTCTTGCTTTTTGCAGTTTACTATCCAGGGCAAATATAATGATTTTGCATTCAGCCGCGTTTTCACTGGTAGAGTGGAAGTGTGAAGTTTAAACAGAATGTTTTCGACGCAAGATATATTCCCATTGTGCGTACACGAATTAATACATCGTGACGAGAGAAAAGTGAATATGGCAGTCGATAAACGGGTTCAGTGAAGACGTTCTTCACGAGTGCAGCGGTCAACTTCTGTCAATATTATGCAACTACTCTAAACCAAATCTGGCTTTCAGAAAATTGACAGTATATACCATTTCTTTTAGGAATCCCCAAAACGGTGGTTCCTTAGCAACGACTGCTGTGATATATAAATATCAGGTGGTAACACAGAAAGTTTCGAAGGACCGCTAAAAGAAAAGAGTGGCACACCGGCTTGAAGTGAAAAAACAACAACACAACACCACTGGCGCACAGACAAATGCACCGGGCCGAGGCCACCCTTTTCAAGCGAAGAAACAGGTTGTCTCTTCTGATGGGTTTCCAAGGAGAGCCCCCAATAAAACTGGCAAACATTCTATGAAAGGCTTGAATGTGCATAAGAGAACAGTGCAATGCCTATGAAACATAAATAAGCTTTGATGTAAGGATTATATCGCACGCTTTCACTCTCACAAAAATGGAAAGCTCTCGTCCGTGCCATGTTTCCACTTTCGGTGGATCGTAGTTATCCTGCAGCGGTCCAGTGTGGGCCGCTGTTACAACAGCTATGGAGAGGCACACCAGGGTACCGCATAGGAGTCGCATTCCGAAAGTTATTTGAGAAGACCGAAATAGTTTGGGCCCACATACCTAGCCAGAATCCTGTACTTTTATCAAAATTTATGTTGGCGCCAGCGACTTCACAGAAGCGTGAAGTAATGTCTACTGCTTCTTGAACGCTGGGTTTATCAATGCAAAAGAAGGCAATGTCACCTGCATAAGCTAGAATTTTAGTTTCCTCAGCATTAAATAGGCATCCTCTTATGCTAAAGTCAAGATGCACAAGTAAACATAGTGGTTTTAGATAAATTGCAAAGAGCAAAGGAACGAGCGGACATCGCTGACGTACAGATGAATTCAACTCTGTTATATTAGAGTGTCTTATTTAGAATCAGCCTAGTTGTGCGCTTCTTATAAGAGAGTGAAATACCATTGTACAGTACATGACTCAACAGCAGGTGTTTTAGGAGCCGGAACAAAAAAAGCATGGCACAAGCATCGGTACATTACCATTACCAAAAGCATGGTACATTACCATAGGACGTAAGAACGCGTGGTTGTCATGATGATTTCATGATTTAAAGCCGGTAACCTACTGTTAAAGGCACACATGTGTGTTGACAAAAAGTTGTTACCAATTTAGAGAACTGGATACTGTACTAGGGGGAGAGCATGAAGCCGTTCCGTAAGGCTCACTCCTGATGAGGCCGTGTTCACAAAAATTACGCCGTGAACTAGTTCACGAAGTGTGTTATGACTTACAGGTTTCAGTGGTGGTGTAGTTGTTACTGTAACAAGTATTTCCTTAAGATAATATAGCAGGTGTATTGCAAGTTCAAAGAGATTTCATGCATTAAGTGTTTGAAGCAGAGGGACAGGAAGCGCTATCGCGTTACACTCTCAAAGGCGAAGTTGAAGGGTCTCCTAATTGTTTGTCCTGTGGATTGCGACTGGGTCGCGCACTCGGTAATCGCACTTTGTATCTACACAGGACCACGAGAACAGGTATTTGTGATTCAAACACTGAAACGTTAAGAAAAACCGTCTGTGGCAATGTTGAGCCAATCAGTGAAAAGAATAAAAATAAGGATCCCAGCAGGAATCGTGCCCAGGCATTTCACGAGGAAGTCAGGTATTCCACCGCAAAGCCACGTCAGGTTTGCAACGCTTCAAACTGCAAACTGCTGGACACACACACACACACACACACACACACACACACACACACACACACACACACACACACACACACACACACACACACACACACACACACACACACACACACACACACACACACACACACACACACACACACACACACACACACACACACACACACACACACACACACACACACACACACACACACACACACACACACACACACACACACACACACACACACACACACACACACACACACACACACACACACACACACACACACACACACACACACACACACACCACACACACACACACACACACACACACACACACACACACACACACACACACACACACACACACACACACACACACACACACACACACCACACACACACACACACACACACACACACACACACACACACACACACACACACACACACACACACACACACACACACACACACACACACACACACACACACACACACACACACACACACACACACACACACACACACACACACACACACACACCACACACACACACACACACACACACACACACACACACACACACACACACACACACACACACACACACGCACACACACACACACACACACACACACACACACACACACACACACACACACGCGCGTCTGTGTGTGTGCCTCATTTATACGTGTGTAGCGCAATTATCTTCTTGGTGTTAAAATGCACCAACTCGTGCAGCAACAAGTTCTTCTAAGTTTCAAACTGCTTTTAAAAAGATACCCTATTCGGGCGTAATATCGGTGCATTATCAATTGCGGTTGCAGCACTATCTGATATTAGAATATTGCATATGCACTCCTATCACACAGGTGTCATGTCGGGTTAATGTCAATTGTGGTTCAGGTGTAGGCTCCGATTTTATAGCAGTCAAATAAGCGCTACACTTGTACTCCTATGATCCAGCAACCATAATAAATTGTTGATCAAATGCGGAGGAATGCGCTAGCGATAGTTACGTGCGGTATTCACGTCATCGCACCATAAAGTGCACATTGTTCTGGTAAAACTGTCGTCCGTGATTTAAGTGCTGACGTTCTGCCACTGAATATGTAACCCTCTAAACAGCTGTGTGGTTGATGTTACTGGTAAGTTCTACGATATGCACACAACTACTGCACTAACGAACAAACAAACAGAAAGCACGTCGATCCACCTCGTTCCTCTGGGCTCAAAGTAGGAAAATGCAGCCTAGAAAATCACTCGCCGAGTACTTCGCATGTAATTCACTCCCTCAAGGCTTGAGATTTGCCGAGCATTCTTCTTTTGTTTCTTACTCGAATGGTGCTTTTAAGAGTGGTAATGCAATGAAAAAAAAAACTAGTAAATACGGACACTCGAATGTTTAAACGATTTCAAGGTCTAGCTGCCTGTTTTAATAGCGAGATGCTTGCAAAGTCCGCTGATTACAATGAACCATCAAGAGTGAGAAAAAAGAGCAATAGAGAACCAAGAGCCTGTGCCACATCAGTACAAGAGTATCCTGTTCAGTTCCGTCTTATAACTGAAAGGCTACGCGGAAAAGCAAGATGATAACAATAAAGGAAGTATATATTTCTCCTAATACATCGAGTGCGTGATAGATATTTTGGCGTTTAGAAGTCGGTTTACGTCTCTTTATTTCTGGTGTATAGTCAATCACACTGCACTGATTTCTGCACTAGCATGGTCCATGCAAACACGCGTGTGGGGCTGCTTGAAGAAAGGGATATAGTAGATTGCTGGCGGGGCATGTTTTGTGGCCACACAGGGTTCGTTTAGGTTAATTATTGTAAGCTATAGCCTACAAGACATGTTGTTCGTTCAGTAACCCTTACAAAAATAGGTAAGTGGCTTATCTTTAATCAATGCTGGAATTTCTTTTTGTGGTCATGGTCACCCCTGGTACCGGTCAAAGATACTCAACGTTTATCAAAAAGTCGCCAATTATTAAACGCATATGCATCACTTGGAAGCTGGCTTACCTGCCGTGGTCGTTCGTCAGCTTCTGAAACTCGGCTCGGGAACAAGGTGACTGTGTAAACCTGTTTGTACAGGCAGTTATAAACCAACATGGCGATCAATCCTGTGAGGAAAAAGAAATGCGTCACGAGAATTATGGACTCGTCGACCATGCTTGAGACTGGCACTTGGAAGTTAGGAAGTGTTCTAGCAAACGGCTCACACTAGGTACATTTGTTCCAGGGGCCCATCGTTCTTCAAATGTGGTGAATTCTCAGCGACTCACAGAAACAACGTCAATATAAATGCGCTGATGCGGCCACGACGCAGTTTCTAAAATTGGTTACATAATAACATTAGCGCATGCCAGTTGACTAAGAGAATGAGATGAGTGAGGGTAGAATGCGAAGATTTATTCGTGATGGCGTGCTAGGGGGGTATTGCGAATACACATGCATATCGACTGAAATGTGGTGTGACAATTACAGCACCACTTAAGAGCCTCGTGTGACAGAGAAAATAAGGCGATGTTGGTTGATGGTGGCACAGGCTGGAATCGGTAATGAAGTGCAATGGCAAACGGGGGAGTTGTCCTGCACACGTTGAAAAACATTGAAGTAAAGCAGAGAATGATATTCCACGTCAGAAAAGGATCACTTGTTATCAAAATTAATGTCAGTGACATCCAATAAATATAATTCCATTCAATACTTGCTGACGTTTCGCTACACCACAGTGATTTATGGCTAAGGTACTCGGCTGCTGACCCGCAGGTCGCGAGATTGAATCACGGCTGCGGCGGTTGCATTTTCGCTGGAGGCGAAAATTATATACGCCCGTGTGCTCAGATTTGGGTGCACGTTAAAGAACACCAGGTCTTAGAAATTTCAGGTGCCCTCTACTATGGCGCTCTCATAATCATATAGTGGTTTCGGGACGTCAAACCACACATATCAATCATTCAAATCATCGATTGCCGGTGTTTCACGTACTAAAACCACGATGTCATTAGGTGTCAGGCCATATAGTGAGAAACAGCGGACTGGTAGCACGAACATGCTTTATGCCTCGGTCCAGCAAGACTTTACTGACGTATTTAAGTCGCGGATATGATGTTGGTAAACAGCAAGCTGACAAAAGCCAGAGCGAATTCAGAAGAAAAAGCTTCTGTCACCGGGAATTGAACCCACGACCTCTAGATGCAAGGCACCAGGCGCCCGACGCTCAACCTACGGCGCACATGCACGATAACCCGTAAACGTGCCTGGTATCTCCCACACATTCTCGCACTGTGCATGCTTGGCAGTGAGGGGTGCTGTCACGGTTAGGGTGTGGAGAAGTATACTGCGTCATGACAATTACCATAGCTGAGGAACGATTTGGTGATGACGCAGTGTATGCTTTTAGGGTGGTTTGATGACAATGGGGACCGGCGGGCCGTGCTGACATCAAAGAGACACTCCAGACGTCGTTACATTATTCACATTTCACTTCGTCTTAGCTTGTGACGGCTCGTTGTCGCAGTACTCCATCTTCCACACGCAGAAATACATGATGTTCCGCCACCGACTACTGCTTCTAGTGCAGTAGCAACTATCAATAACACGGCAGCATTGAGTCCCTCAAGAAGGCAAACATGCCGGTAATGGCGAATGTCGCTCGTTGGTTGAGCGACATAGAATGGTAAGCGGAACACCTTTGCATGTTCATGAATGAAGCTACAAACCACTTTCCCCCGATTGAATCGCAGTGTGATAGTGTATGCATGAACACAAGTGCAAATTACCCTCTCACTCGTGAGCGCGCAGCTGACTATTTCTCTCCTCATTAAACCATGCATGCATTGATGGGGTCCACATAGAGTACCGGTGTCTGTTATTTGCTTCTTTGTGCCACATTTGTGCGGGATTTACGATGTGCTCTGCCCTGATATATGCAAACTTATGTTATTACAAAGATTAAATCGTAATCATGCATGGGCGTTAGTCATCGGGATGGAGAGGCGCCACTAGGCGCCAACTTGAATGCAACCCCAGTATAATCGGCGCGACAGCGGCCAACGTGAATATACATTGTGCACGCTCTCACATATTAATGCAGTTCCAACGACAGAGGAATCAGCAATCTTTTTTCCCCTATACTTTTTTATATTCTTGAACGTGCGCCTTCTTCTAAGTACAAGTTTGTTCTCTCACTTTGCGCCCATCGATATGCGGTAACTGTGGCAGGGAATGGAATCCGCTATCATGATTAGGGAGAAAAGCGGGCACAGAAGGATGGTGCCGAGGCACCTGTCGGTGTATTGCGGAAGCGAATGTGATGATAGTCGCAGGATGGCACCAAAGTTAATCAGTGTTTAGGTGCGCATCGAGTCTTTTTGCATAATGGAACACAATCAAGAGCACACAACGAAATACAAAGGGAGATTACGAGCACAAACGCGTGCCTCTGTCATTGTGTTGTCTGCTTGACAGCGTTGTCCTATGAAAAAAAGTTTTTCAGCACTGCTCCTAACTCCTTGCGGTATTGTGTTTTATAACAATTGTGGAATAATTTTTCACCAGCAGTTACTTTTCTACGTCACTAGAGGTTTTTATACTACTATGCATGTCTACAGCATTTCAAAACATTCAAAAGAGACTCTGATGTTATGGTGGGGTACAGCTATTGGGAATCCTGTGATGCAGAGGCAAGAAGCGTGTTTTCGTTGCCCGATGGCAAAAAGTACACTGACTGTTATTCATAGAACAAAACCTGGTCACTGAGAGATATGGTCACACAAGTAGGAAGAGGTGAAGAACCGGTCTACCATAAGCGTGAGGAAAGTCACCCAAAAATGGCAATGGTTGAGCTGTTTGGTCGAGAAGATGTTGAAAGGCTACCGACTAGTGTGGTAGCGAGAAAAAAGACGCAATACAATGTCCCTACATCCACAAGATAAATATGTCACACCAGCATGTAACGTCGTAAGCGAGCCTCCTCTGTATGAGTTGACTGAATAAAATGCAATTCACAAGAAACTTGTTTTCACTAACAAAGTTCAGGTGGTCTATTCGCGAACATTTGCTAGTTTTTCGTCCCATTAGCGAACCTCGGCGTTTTATGATACTGCAAAGAGAGTTATCGTGCGGGCAGGGACTAGTCAGGTACATGACAGAAGCTGTTTACAAGCTAGTATTCCCTTTTTGTTTTTGAATTACTTTGTAGATTTTCTGCACCCGGTGTAGGAATGGTGCTTAGTATAAAAAAAGGGCTGGCAACCGGGTGTTGGAATATAGTTCCGAAATAGATTCATTGAGCTTCTAAAGGGGGGGGGGGGTGACGGAGAGATTGATTGACGATACGCACCTCCGAGTGCTTTTCTGATTCACCGCCACTGGTCTAGCTGTCCGTAGGAACCGAAAGTTTTAAACCGCTGTTCCTCGTACAGGTGTTTATGACACGTCACCTTCCTCTCATGAAACAGGGGTGACCCAAGCACGCAAAAGAATTACTTGGCAACCCTTTTCAGTAATTTATCTGACCACTAACTCCGGTTAAGTGGTGTAGCGCACACAATTTTGTAAATTATGGTGACGGCGAATTTCATTTTGTTGTATTTCTTATATTCTCTTGTACTTGCTTTTATATTGTCGGCAGCTTGTTTGTCAAGGTTGACTTTTAAGCTTTCTAGAAAGAAGCTCCCTTTTAGTCAGACAAGAGCCTGCCTACGTTGGATTTACATGAGGTACATCATATTGGCGAGAACCGGTCAACAAAAGGAATCCTGGGTTCTTATTTCCTTCACTGACGAATGCTACTGAACCATAGCGTAGGTTTTGTAATACGCCGCGCTTGGTGATAAATTGACAGCATTGGTGGGCGTCATAATCACTTTCTTTCTAATTCACCCGTATCGTAAGTCTCAGCGTAGATCAAAATCGTACGCTAGTCTTGTTGACCTCCACCTCCCACCTGTATACTTCCCTTGGTTTATGGCTCTGGTCTACTCACCTAACATGAAGCTTCCGAACACAATAGCCATTGCCACCATGCCGTGAAGTGGTTGACCGGTATTCACCCAGTCATTGAAAAAATGCACAACTGCCTCGGCACTTTGCATGCTGGCGTACGTGTACATGATGATCATCCACGGCTGCGACGAAGAGTCGGCCACGTTGAAGAAGCTGAATGTGAGGGCCGCGCCCATGGCGATGCCATGCGCGCACTGCTGCCAGAGCGGCGTGTTTGGCGCGATTTCCCTACGCACCAAGTCCTGCGTCATCGTGAAGGCGAAGATGGACGTCATCACGAAGTGGATACCTGGTGGAAAAAAGTGATACGCATTCAGCTAGGCCAGACTTGCTTCGTTCTGTGAGTCACTTTGTATAGTGCACCTTACAAAATATGGCAAATTAGACGAGGATGTGGGTGTTATACAAATATTGTTAACAACGTCCACTATTATATTAACAATAAACTTCTATCTTGTAGTTTGAGTGCACAACTTAGGGTAATTCAGCAGCCATAGTTCAGTATTAGTTTACTAACATAAAGTAATGGAACTTATGTTCAGTGTCTAAGAATTTCACTACACTAGCCGAGCTATGAGCAGTCGATTTCAAGTAAAGCACTAGTGAAATCTGCGTGGAGCACTGGCATATGCAGCAGGAAGGATCAGCCTTGTGAAATTCAGATATGGGGTGGTGTTCTGCTAGTGTGCAATAAATGAGCGAGACATTTGAATGGGCAATAATTGAATAAGCTCTGAAGTTGCGGTTCACTATTGGTTGCGGCTGAGCCAATCTCAAGACAGCTAATTAGAGCATGCTGTACAATCGACTCATGGACATTCACAAAGTAGCCACCTAAAATGCTTAACAGGTTGGAGCGGTTCACTGTTCACTTAACTCACCAAGGACACCTTTCCTTTGTAACTCAGTAATCTTCTCAGAGCCTGAATGAAAGGTGCCTTGGTGGCTTTTTGCAAAGAGGCCCGGTATTGCTTTCAAACAGCTCATGTTTTCGATGATTTCAAACGTGGTTCCTGAGCTTAAAAAGTCATGTACTCAGCATTCTCGAATGATTTGTGTCTCACCTTGACTAAAGATAAGGGAACTTACCAAAGTACGCAATTGCCCAGTAGTCATTCACTGCTGCCATCAATACCATGGCGCCGATGCGGGATGTGACGATGCCGAGTCTCCAAAGCAAGTGCAGGATGACGCCGAACCAGGAAAGCGAGGTCAAATCAGGGCATCGATGCCTCAGATCGATGTCATAGTCTACCATACCTTTTGCTAAAGCGACAAGGGAGGTGATGGGAGTGCCAACTGTGTAAAAAAAGAAAGAAAGCCCGGCGTTCTGTTCTTTATTTTTGACACGCACATCCTTGCCAACACTTTCTTACACTTTCTCATACAATTGTTATCACTACAAATACCTCACAGTACTGCGTAAGCCCTGCGCTCTCTGGCATCTGTCCCAAACTGTTAACGCCTAATCCTTGTATTCAATGTAAGCTGAAAGCTTAGCTGGCGTGGTTTAATACAATACATTCCTACAATAATGAAGGCCGCGTGTGGGGAGGAAAGGGCTTGGCCTAGTCTAAGCCTTGTGAACTGGTTCTCCGTAATGTGCTTTGACAGTGTTTGGGTGTAATAATGATGCGGCCTTTCGGCCTCAAAGTCAAAATAGTAGAGAGCACACGCAAAGAAAACGCGCTCTAGTCTCGTCTTGTCGATAGCGTCCATCGTCGCAGTGCTAGCACACTAACGGCACATTGGGTTGTACGACGACACCACACAACACGGGTCTCTTCCCGACAGCTCAAGCTAGTGATATGGCCCACTGACTTCTTTAAGTAAATTTGTTACTCTTTTTTCGTGTTCATATCACTCTACGAACGGGTAAAAATGTCCCCCCAAGACGCTCTGTGTTTCCTGAAGAAGAGTGTCCTCAGGACAATACCATTCGTTCTGGAGGCCGTCCGCTATCGTTCTTTCCGACGTTTTCGAAGCAGTGCCTCAGAAATTTCACATTTTTTGTAAGCCCTTTAATTTGCATTATTCGGTTTCTGCGATCGTGGGCTGCGGTCTCGGCAGTGTTTGCAATGGCAGTGTCTTTGCCCCCCCCCCCTCCCTCTGGCAAGACCGGTGATTTTCGCACAGGACGCGTCAAGATTGTTTGTCCGGCTTGAGAATGCTACCTTTACCTGTATGTTCTATCAAGCCAGTCAATGTAAGGAACATTCTCATGGTGAAGAAACTCGTCCTATTGCTCTGGTCTTTCTTGGACGAGATTCTTTGACTGGCTGGGTCATAAGGTGGGCGAGCTGTTTCAGTGTTTCACAGCAACACGCCATACAGGGGGTCTCAAATACATTTAACTCTTGTGAGGCCCGTATAGGGCAGTGTGTCTAGAAATACCATGGCTTCCGGTAGGCAATGAATAGTGTGGTCGAAAAGAGACACCGGACGTGTCTTTCCAGCCATTTTCTCCTTCTGGCTAAGGTGTGCTGAACTATTACAGTATTGAAGCCGGTGTCTGTTAAATGGAACCCGGTAGCACTCGAGGAATCGTCTTGCCACTGGCACAATTACGGCTTTACTTTCGGGCCAAGGGCTCATTAGAGTCGTGACTCCACAAACCAAAACAGGTCTCTCAAGCTCGTGACGCTTGGCTTGAAAAGAAAAAAAGGCAGCAGAGACGATTAGTCGCCGAGTGCTTCGCATGAAACCGATTTCCACAAGGTGGGTGATGTACAGAATTCCTCATCTGGAATACTGCATGTCACGGAGATTTCTGATTTCCGATTTTAGCTTTAATATACAATGTATTTGGTTATAATCTTCCGCCCATTTCTCTACACCACTGCTTTGGAGGTCAGACATTTTCACTGTTACCTGTTCATCGCTCAATTACTACGCACTACTACGTGTGGTTTTTAATAAAAAGCCTTGATATGATTATGAAAAACGCCGCAGTGGAAGGCTTCAGAAAATTTGATGATCTGGTGTTTTTAACGTGCACTGGAATCGCAGAGTACACGGGTCTCTACCATTAAGCCTCCATCGAAAGGAGACCATGGGTACCAAACCATGATCAAACCGACGACGTTTGGGTCAGCAACCGAACACCTGATCCACCGAGGTAGACAGCGCGCATATTTCTTTCCGACGTCGACATGACTTAACCAGGCTTATGAAAGAAAGAAATGCGGTGCTCTGCGCATTCGACATACTTGTTTAGTGCCGATTTAAGAGAAAAGCATCAGACACACACGCTCTGGCATGTAGAAGAGTCAGCGTTGAGCCCCTACTTCTGGATACCTTCAATCGCACTTTTCGATGACTGGAACCACCACAGCACCCATACAACCAGTCCTCGGCCTCAGTATACAGAAGGTTTTTGGTGAGCGGGCTTTCTCCGATCCAGGTGATAGAGGCGCTAACCGCAACGACGAACTTACACCGCTCGCGCCACGCGACGCTGCCGTGGTGGCTGCCACAACAGCTGCTCCTCGCCGCGACGCCGGTGCCACCCAACTTCATCTGGCTTGCCCACGTTGAACCCTACCTTCAGAAATCGCAGCCGTGTTGACCATGGAAGGAGTTGCAGTCGAAGGAACTGAGATGACCCCTGAAGACGCCACCCTCGAAGCCGGATGGATCTCTAGCCACTAAAATAAGCAATGCAAGCATGCATCGAACGCTCCGGAATCACCAACTGGCCAAAGAAGCGCGTCCGATACCCCAACGCCGAACGAATCTGCTGAGCGTCTCTCTCGCAAACTCAGGCAACTGCGTCTGCCAGATGATCACGTCAAAGTTGTGATTCGCCCGAGGGACGGCCTCAACCTCTCCAAAGTGCGGGAAGCCCAACTGCGTGATGCTATTCTACGCGAAGTGGACCTGCATTCAACGCTACTCAAGGAGGATATTTACCGTACATGCGTTGAAGCTAATCGCCTCGTAGTAAGCACAACTCATTTCTCCATTGCGGAAATCTACAGTCGGATCTCCAAACTATAGCTGGAAACTCAAACCTATCACGTTCGAGCCTACGTTACTTCCCCTGAGAACACAGCAAAGGGAATGATCCACAATATCCCCCCCTACGACTCTCGCGAAGACATCGCAGCAAGTCTTGTTAATGACCGCGACTCCACGATACTACAAGCTCGGCGAATGGGAAAGACAAACATGGTACTCATTATATTCAATGGCGACCAAGTCCCTTTCCATATGTACTATCTAGGAACCGAATACTAATGTTACCTACATAAGAAGCGCACCGAAATCTGTGACAAATGCGGGACAGTTGGCCACCGTTCGGATGCCTGCCTCAAAGCAAATGCCGTAATCTGCACGCTGTGTGGCACACGCAACTATGCTACTGCTCATCCATGCACCCTTAAGTGACTTCTGTGTGCTCAAGCCCACCAGACAGGTGACAAAACCTGTCCTATACGCTACCAGACACCTCGCCTTCTCATTTATCGTCGCCAAGAAAAAGCTAAGTGCCAATACAACAGCACCTCACAACGGCAATCTCCACGCAAGATGATCATCCGGAACGCCAGGAGGTCAAGCCTAGCGACACCCACTCCCGCAGTCTCAGTCCAACCTCGAAACGTCGTGGCTCACAGCTTATCAAAGCAACGGCGCAAGAATCAGCCCCAAGAGCTCCTATTGGGGTCTACGGCACCCAAGGCTTTGGATGCCTCCCCCCCCCCCCTTCAGCAGCGACAGCCCGGTCTCACCCTCGCCGCCCATACAGTATGCTGGGCTAGCATTACCTCCCAACCTGCTCCTATATATAATACAGCACCTACAGCTACACACACGATTATCCTAATAAGGAAACCATGTTAAATACTATCACACAGGAGCTGCGTTCACTCCGTAAGTTAGTACAAGAACTCCGCGCTGAAAACGTTGCTCATCGAAAACAATTTGCCCAGCAAGCTCCGTCCTCTTTTTTGCTTCACTCTGCTGACCTCCACGTCCATTCCGCCCCCACCCCCCTTAAACGAATGGATCCGGACACAGAAGAACCAGCCACACCATCGTCGCAACCACCTAACACCTCAGCACCCATTTTGCCTGTTGAATGCGTACCGCAGCAGCAACTCCACGAGACGATTAAAACCGTACTTGAACGAATGGCATTCTCAGGAACTCAAAAAGGCCAAATGGGGTGGTAATTGCCGTCATTGGAACATTTTCTACAGCAACAGGAATTTAGTGAAAGGCTTTGACTAAGTCGATTTCAGAGAGCGCTGTTGTTCCATGTAGAGCTGATGTGAACTCCTGAATGTTAGGCAGTGGATACCGGTCGGGAATAGTTTTTTGCGTTCAGGGAATCATAGTCTCCACAGGGTCTCCAGTCACCTGACTTTTTTGGGGACGAGGTGTAGAGGAGACGCCCAGCTGCTCGATGATGATCGTATTATTCCGAGTTCCAACAACATGTGTTCAAACTCAGCCCTGGCTACTTTGAGCTTATTTTGAGCAAGTCACCGTGAGCGAGCGAAAACAGGTCGACCAGTGGTGATGCTATGGTGGCGGACATCATGTTGCACAGGTTTTGTCCAGTCAGGCGGTTGCTGATGTTTAGAAATTCTCGAAGAAGTCCTGTGAAACGATCAGCCGCCACTGTTGTAGTTGGGGCGATTATGTTCGGGTTCTGGGAAGCAACACCATGGACAGAGAGCAGTGCAGTAGTGTCTAGCAGGCGTTGCCATTTCACGTCGACCGACAGTTCAAGGTGATTAAAGAAGTCTTCACCAATGAGGGCCTGTCGTACGTCAGCGACGAGGAAAACCCAAAGAAACACGCGGCACAAGCATAGGTTCAGAGTGAGCGACCTTGATTTGTATATGGGGATCTTGCTACCGTTGACAGCTTGCGGGTAGGAGATAGGGGGTATATTTCGGTCGCATTTTTGAGGCGAAATAATACTGACCTCTCCACCAGTGTCCACCAGGTACTGCTGGCCTGTGATTTTGTCCATGACGTGCAACAGGCGACTTTTGGGTTGGCCTTGACCAGTCATTATTGTCAATGGTTGGCCTGCCTGTTTCCATACCACGAGCAAGGGTGGAGGCAGTGACGCGCGTCCTGTCCAAAACGGCAATGGTAATAGCATATCCCTGGTGGTGTGGGGGACCGAGAGCGTTGTGCACGTCCATAACGTGGGCACCTTCGGCTGTGGTTTCGGTGACGTGGAGTGGTGTAATGACGCTCTGCGGCACAAATCAGTTGCTTTAGGCAATCGCAAAGCGCGTCGATGGAAGCAAGGTCAGATGGTGTTTGTGGAGTGGCACTCACGTTGTTGAATGGCGGCGTAACGTTGCACACAGATGGCGTGGCCAAGACCTTGTCCGCCAGGCTGGCCAAACCGTGGAGGTCCAACGTAGACGAAGTGGCTATTACCATTTGCACATTGCCAGGAAGGCGCTGCAGAAAGAGTTCTCGCAACAAGTACTCGTCAGTAGGGGTGGTGTAGCTGCTCATGAGTTGAGGCACATGACGAAGAAGCTGGCTGGGCCGGCGGTCGCCTGATTCCTCCACGGAGAGCAACTGCTGTATGCGGGAACGCTGTAATGCCGTCGTTCACTCCAGCAGAGCAGCCTTGAGAGTGCTGTACGGTGTGGTGGAGGGGGGGGGGGTCCGGAAAGCAGGTCAGATACTTCTTCGGCAGCAGCTGGTGACAGCGCCCAAGCAACGGGATGGTACTTGCATTGTTTCGTGCGCACGCCATAAAGCACGAATTGTGTGTGACTCAGCTTGAATGAATTGAATGAACCAGATCGAAGGGTTGCAGAGTCCCAGTAAGCTGGTAGTCGGACGGAGATCGCAGAGACGTCATGATCGGTCGTGCCAGTAGCTTTCGTGTTTAGGGGCGTCTCGTTGCTCTGCATTACTCTACAATACTTCGGCAGTGCCGCGAAGGATTACGGGTCACCACTTTGTAGAGCCAAGATGTACGAGTTAGACACGCGTTTTCAGTAACAACGTCTACATTATTCTGACAACCAGAGAGTCGAAAATAGAGCAGGTGCACGCAGTGCACCGGAAATGGAAAGAGTGAAAGAGACGAAGGAGAAACAGAGAGGAGAGCAGCACGTTGCTTGGAATGCTGCTCCGCAGGTTTTTATGACTGCGGGGTGCGCGGTGGCGGCCGCGTCACTACAGCTTGAGCAAAGTATCCCGAAAGCACTAGAGTGATCCCTTGATTCAATCCTCAGAGAAAAGTTTGAGCAACACCTCACCTTAATGCTCGATGGAAAGCTGGAAGCCCGAGTGACAATTATCCAAAAAAACCTTGAAGTCACACTTGCAATTCTGCAGAGTTATGGAGCTTGAGCGGTGTACACATCGTTCTCGCTCACACTCGCATAAGAAGCCTTATGGTCGGATTAATCAAGATGGCCATGAGTAATCTGCACACTCAGTACTGCATCTGGCAGCGGAACTGCCGTGGCTACCGCTGTAAGAGGGGCGTGCTGCAAGAATTTCTTTTGACACTCAATGAAACAGATACACCAGACATTATCGCACTACAAGAATCGCGTGGTCAGGCTAAGCTGGTCGCATACGCCTCCTTTACGCCTGATCAAGCCCCCGACAGTCGCGAAGTCTTTACCACCATCGTGAAATGAAATAACCCTGTTCTTCTACACCCCTCGCTCTCTGTTACAGCGTTGCACATTATATCGGAAATACTCTCTTCATCTCGCCAGTCACCCACTAGTATGTTTTGGTCAATATTTACAGCACCCCACGACATCCACATCGCTTCCATAAGCTCCTCTCTCATGTCAAGAAGTTGGCAAAAATTTCCCCCTCCTCGCGGTAGGGGATTTTAATGCTCCCTCACCCGCTTGGGGTTACATCCACAGCACCAGAAAAGGACTAATGTTGTTGCAAAACACCCACAATCTCGGCTACACTTTTATCACAAACCCGGCATACTCTACGTGGTGGGGTGACAGCGTTGACAGAGACACCGCTCCTGACCTCACTTTCACTACGAACATTAAGCATGCAGAGTGGTCCAACCTTCATGAACATCTAGGCAGTGACCACTATATAATACAAACGATCGTCAAGGCTGGCCCGCAGCGCAGGAAAGCCTGCCCTGGTTGACTGGGATGTCTTACGCGAATTGCGGACACCAGCCTCTCCAGAATCTGCCACCTAGATCGACAAATGGACAGCTTCCTTACTACGAAACGTTAAGCCTGCTACCAAGTCTTCCCCAGAAGAAGCCGTAGGCGACACGGTGGGCACCAAGCTGCTGCATATGTGGGAGACCCTCGCTGGTCTGCGCAAGCGCTATATCTCCAACAAATCGAACCTTTCATTAAGCAAACACATTGCTATATTAGCGCGTCAAATTGAAGATTACGCTCTTCAACTCTCCCGCCAGTACTGACATCAGCTTTGTAACGTTATAGAACGCTTACCTAACGTTCCCAAAACGTGGAATATTCTTCGTCCTATGAAAGACCCAACATCGATAAAAACTGTTCAGGGGCACTCCTTAATTACTGTTCTGCACAATTATGCAGGTACTAATGAAAAACTTATCCAGGGAATATCTAGTCGGTACATTGTCAGTGCTATTTCAGTTGATCTCCCATGCTACACTGGTGGGGATAATTCAGCCCTCGACTCCCATATTACAAGAGCGGAAGTAAGGTGCGCAGTTTCACAACTGAGACCCCACTCAGCGCCTGGCCCGGATAAAATTACAAATAAAATCTAATAAAACCTTGGCGAAGAGTCACTTAAACGCTCACATTTTATCTGCAAATGGTTTGGGAGTCGGGGGAAATACCAACACAATGGAAAACCACCACAGTCATTCTGATAACTAAACCAGGAAAACCACTCATTATTGAGAACCTTCGGCCGATATCTCTCACATCCTGTGTCGGAAAGGTGCTGGAGCACGTTATTCACACTCGACTACAAAGGTACATGGAAGAGCATGCCCGTACCCCCATACAATGTTCGGATTCTGCCCTTAACATTCGACACAAGACGTAATGCTGCAACTGAAGAGTCCTTTTATCGACGGTGAAGACGGCTCTCGGTACAGGACACGTGCTATTCTGGGGCTAGACCTCACCAAGGCGTTTGACAATGTTCGACATACATCTATCCTTGACGCCCTCACCAAGCTCAACGTAGGCGCCCGCACCTACCGCTACATCTGCAACTTTCTAACGGACAGGACAGCCACACTTTCGGTCAACGCCTGCACCTTCCATCACTCTCGGCGAAAAGGTACACCATAAGGGTCAGTCCTCTCTCCATTTCTTTTCAACCTAACAATGCTTCACCTTCGGCCATTTCTAGAAGATATCCCCGACCTCCATCATAGCATATACGCGGACGAAATCACGCTGTGCATTACCAGAGGTAGCCACGGAGAAATACAGGATGCACTTCTATTGGCGATTCATAGAATCACAACTTACGCTGAACAACGAGGATTGTCCTGCTCGCCCCAATAGTCAGAGTCACTCATCTGTCGATCTAGATCTCCCTACATTAGAGACCTTCCCACAATAAATTTGTATGTGCAACATCACCCTATACGAACAGTCCCTACCATTCACGTGTTGGGCTTCCGCATTCAGCAGAACGGCGGCAATTCGGAAACAATGCAACTACTACACCATCATGTCTATCAGACTACAAGGCTCATCTCCCGCATTGTCCATAATTAGCACGGCATGAAAGAGGCCGATCTCATACGACTGGTGACCGTCTTCTCCATAAGCAGAATCCTTTACGTTGGTTCATTTATGAAACTTGCGCTCACCGACAAGAAGAAACTAAACATAATGATCAGGCGCTGCTACAAAAGTGCGCTGCATCTGTCCATGTCTACACAAAACGCGAAACTCAATGACCTAGGACTTCACAATACTATGGACAAATTCATTGAAGCCCATTCTATATCGCACTACAAAGGATTAGGCCAAAATCCTACAGGACGTCATCTCATGTGCACACTCGGCATACCTTACGTCTCCCAGTTCGGCCAGAAACTCCCAATTTCTCCGGAAATTCACGACACCTTCGTGATTCCCCCCATACCAAGCAATATGCACCCTGAATATAACCCGGAAAGATGATTTGACAGCGCCAAGTAAATAGGTAAGCGCTACGCACAAGTCACGCGCGTGGCGTATGTAGACGCAGCGGAATATTCTACGCATCGGGCCGTGACCCTCGCTGTCGCCACCGGGCCGCAGCACATAATTACCGCAACTGGCACCATTCGAGCAAACAAACCCGAAGAAGGCGAAGAAGCAGCCATCGCTCTAGCCTACGCTTCAATCCAAACATCCTGCATAATCAGTGAATCCAAGACTGCCATCTGCAACTTTACCAAAGGTTCGACCTCCCAACCGGCGCTCCACATTCTCACAAGTATACCTCTGTTACGTCACCATCGCGTTGAGATCATCTGGACTCCGGGCCCCTCGGGGCTCGCGGGGAACGAACACGCTCATGACGCCGCCCGAGCTCTCGTCCGCCAGGGGCGTCATCCAACAGAGCACCACCCCTCGCGACCTCACGCGGCTGAACGAGAGATGATGGTCTCCTCTTTTCGCGCAATGCGAGAAACAAAATGGTTATCTTCGGAGAAATTTTAATGTATTACCGCAAGGCCCGACTTAAATACCCACCACCAGACAAGTGCCTTAGTAAGCAGCAATTTATTACCTGGCGTCTATTACACACAAGCACTTTCCCCTGTTTGTCACTGTAAAGCCGCATTTATCCCTCTGTTCACACACCAAAATGGAAAGCGTGCGGTGCACCTAACGCCGAGCTGGACCATATTATATAGGCCTGCCCAGTAGCTACTCACTAAATTAAACACAGGACAAACCCTACATTCACAATCACCACGGCTTAGCAGTGGGAGGCTTTGCTGCTCAGCACATGCCCGGAGGACCAGCTCTGGTCTGTCCGGCTGGCGGAAGATGCTGCCAGGAAGCAAGACTTCGCCGCCATCTGAGGAAGCGGATTACAGAGGGACCCGTCTATCGGACCCCCACCACCTTTGACCTCCCCCAGCGACATTTTGATAAAGTTATTTCTCTCTCTCTCTGTCACTTTAAGCGATAGTGTGAATAAATTGCTTACCCGTCATAGGACGCCAGTCCTTTGTGTCGAACAAAATGTATATCTGGAGCACGAGCTGTGGCGCTGACTTCATGAACGACTTGTAGAGGTCCAGCAAATAGAGGTCGCTCCTATGCTTTGAGAATGTGTCGTAGTCCTTTTTGGCCTTCGTCTTGTATGCTCTGCAGCAGTTACGTATGGTCAGCCACTGCCTGAAAATCGGAGGTAAAGTTAGCCTACACTGAGCCACCAAGCTACTGGAAAATGCATTAACATGATTATTTGTCAACGTATTTGATGAGTGGGCGAATTAGTGGCCAATAATAAGTGATTATTTATTTTTAAATGAAACGCTTATTCGATGGGCGCTGTTGTTCTGGTGTTGTTCTGTTGTTTTAAAGTTAGCCTTGTGAGTATGAAACGATATCCTCTCGCTCTTGCTGTCAACTTTCTTGGCACATTCTTCCATGTTTGTGTGAATATCTGTTTATCAGATATCTAATCGATTATCAAACAGAATTAGTCACTTGAAAACCTCGATTAATAATTTATTTAATTTACAAAATATTTGTATGGCTAACATAAATGCATACATTTTTCTATTTCTTGGTTAATTTTATGATTTGTGCGAATTTCATAATTTGTATACCAATCATGTACGGAGCGTTCCTCAATGGTTTTATGACCTTTTGACCCTCTTCTGTACGTCCTTTTAGCTGTAATCATTCATCAAAAAGTAAACAAATGCTTCATTCATTAAATGACTGATCGATTGCATTCGATTATCCTCGTATTCTCGTAGTCCTTGTTTAGTTACGACTTCAACTTTGCAGGTGACATTAATTTGTTTAATTTTTAGCAGTTTATGAAGGAAAATGAATGGGGGGATTGGCTTTCTAATCAAATATATGAAGCCAGTGAACAGATGAGGAAAACGGGAAGAGGTAAAGGTATTGGCGAAAACGAAAACAACCATGGGCTGTCTGATGGTCATGGAATTCATTTCTCAATGTAATGAGCACTGAATGGGATCCATTACTCATTACAATCTTAATATTCGGTTTGTCGAAGCAAGTTTCTTACATCCTGTACGTAGCATCGTGTACACACAGTACAGATACGGGAGACCAGTGAAAGCAGAAGGGAAGTCAGCTTTTTTGTCTATGTCCTTCTACTACTATTGTGCCTTCTGGGGGGGGGGTGCAAAATGCTATTATTTTAATATCTGTGCATGGGGACATGAAATGGTGCCTTTACGGCACACTCTAAATATTAGTAGAAACGCCCGCACATTCACCAAGACAATATTGCACGACATGATAACTTGCTGTAGGTGTGCTTGGTTCGATGCCGCTAGATAAAGGAGATGACTGATGGAACGCTATCGAGTAGAGCGTCCAGGTGAAGGCATACCCTGGTTCGCCAGACCCTGTTGTACCAGAGTATGTGGGAAGTAAGGCCATCATACTATTTGTCGGCGTTTTGATCCTCTTATTCGGCACACATTTCGAAGCTATTCTGTACAAAGCAGTAACCATTCCTGAATGCTGAAGCCACGAGCGAACTTAAACCGCTGTGCCAAAAATGTTTAGGCGAACCAAGGTGTGCCAGACAGACACAGCTACGCCAACGAAGATGCTCTGGGAATGTGAGGCTAAAGCTAAGCGTATCATTCTCTATGTTCTTTCGGCAAGGTGGGGAGCCACTCTGAGGAGCTCCAAGCTCGTAAACTAACTCTGGTCGGTCCAGCAGGTCCGTGAAGCAGTGGAGAGGCAAGGCCTTGATGTCCCGACATGGGAGACCTAAGCCCGGGCCACTAAGTTGCCGGACAATGAATGAAGTTTTTCTACCACCACCACCATTTTATGCGATGCTTGACCGATTGCCCTTTCGTTATTATATGCAGATTTGAATGTTCTTACTTGTGAATTGTCCCGAAGAGCAGCAGATTCACCACTTTAACCAGTGTCGAAGGATTTTCATCAGCCATTTGCCAACTTATGCTGAATGCTTGTATTACCAAATTAGGCAGTACCGCCAAGGACAACATGATGCTGAAGTAAACCCACATTTCATTGCTACCGTACGTGTACAGTGCAATCCCATCTGCAAAATAGGAAAATTAAAGCGAAATTACGCGAGGAAGCTCGGTTTGCGATATTTGCATGGTTGCCATATTTTCTTCCCACGTTCTGTTACTTTATTTTATTTGGGAGTTGTGAAAAAGTGCATATATATGCAACAGTCAAATAATAAAAAAAAACTAGTTCATAGTTTGTGCTACTTCTGTTATACTCTGTCTCTTCCCACGCACCAACTCGCTATACAAGAAGCTCCGCAAAAAATCTTGAAAGGAATCGCGTATTGCTGACCTATAGTTTATATAATATGAAGATTCCCATTTTTAGTGCCCGGTCAACGCCCTCCCCCATGGCTCAATCACGGCTGTCTTCTTGAACGCTCCTTACCACGTCTGTCACTATAGCAAGATACTGGTGGCGTGATAGCACTGGCTTGAAGTTTCGTTTTGAACTTGTGTTTTAGACCATTGATCAGAATATTTACAACTTTTTGTTCTTTTACACTGCGTGTGAAAATATGTTTACCAGATAATGCCTCGGAAGTATCAAAAATAGTTGCCCCACTTCAATGATTGCGGGTATAAAAAACTTTTAAAAAGCTGTTACTGCTGTCTATTTGATAGTTATTAGTAGGCCAGATATGTGCTGCCCTAAGGCTCGGTACGTTTACTTGACTGACTGCATGAACACATAGGAAAAACAATGCACGAAGTATGTTATAACTAAATCGAATCATGTGCAATACTCAGCGACAGGGAGCTGCAAGTAAGTACAGTTGCCCTTGCCCTTACACGTTATACTACAATTAACGGCCTGATGTTTACAGTAATGGGTATGCTCTATCTCTTGACTCTAGTTTACTTGGCGGAAACCCATTATTATTCATTTTAAAGGAAACTGCGAAATTGTGGTGCTGTTAAAAATGTAGAAAATAATATATCTGACTAGTAATTCGGGCTTTTTGGCGGGTCTGTTTACGGGTTTTTATCAGTTTGAAACTATTACGCGCACACAGTAAGTGGAAAAGAGCACACTAAAATTGTTTAGAGCGTTTTCTTCTCCCTCTCACCTGTCGAGGTACACACTGAAAAAAAAAAAACTGCGAACTCTCACGCGGAGACAATGGCAGTAATATAATTAATGAATTCGGCTTACCTGTCACCAGACCAGCGAGAGATATAACCAAGCCAAAGATGCACGAGAACCAATGCATCCACGTGACATTGACAAAACATGGATCGCTAGAGAACGCTGCGAAACGGTTGATGCACGAGCTGCGATGAAACTAAATCGAGCGCTGTTTCAGAGACAAATGAAAGCATGTGTCGTAGATGCAGGTTTTATTCGTCAATCTCTGCGGGCAAGGGCGGGGAGAGAGCCAGGAAGTTTTACATCGGTTTCCGGTGCCGCTTGGCGCAGCCAGCCTGGAAGTTCCGTTACAGATGCTTGTGTAACGCCGTGTGGCTCATCCGGTTTCTCCATCTTGTAATGCGTGTCTCGAAAAACGAAACTATACCTTCTTCGTTGCTTTTGCTGGCCAGTAGGATGCAGCTGTTACAGTGAGTCAATCGATCTACGAAAATGTTGTAGGCCCGCGTGCTTAGATTTGGGTGCATGTTAAACAACCACAAATGGTCAAAATTTTCGGAGTTCTGCAATATGGCGTCTTTCTTAATCATATGATGGTTTTGGGACGTTAAACCCCTCATATTAATCGTTAAATTAATCTACGAAGCGTGATAAGGTTATTATAAAAGAAAAACGTTCTACAGAAACATTTGTAGCGTTAATTTGAATTGCCAGTTAACGGGTTGAAATTTTTTTTTCAGAAAGACGAAGTATACCAAGCATGCACTGTATGAAACGTGCTTGCAATAAAATAACTTCACGAGTTGGAATAGGTTATAAAAAAGACGTGTCTAGAAAAAACATTAAGAAAAATGTGTATTAACAAAGATAGCGATACCACACAATGCTGCAAATGTGAAACCAACAGCAGGGAGAATGTTTGGTTCGAGAGAAGCTATGGTAGAGTTTCATTTAGGTGAAAGATGAAGAATTTCTTATCAAACACGATAATTGACCACTGTCGCGCGTCGGAGGTGTCCTCTCCGAAGTTATCCGAGGCGAAATGTGATCATCAAGTGATGATGTTTCCATATAAACGGTAATTTTACAGATTGTCAAAATTTGTGAAGTAGTCATTACTTCAGGCAGTGCAGAACCACACTGGGTGGGAAAGCTTTCCGTTGGTGGCTGGTCAGTATCAATGCAACGACTAAAAAGCAAAGAAACGTGACTTTTGCCTTTGACTCGTGTTAGGTGAATACAAAGTAGAACTTGCGACCTTTGCGTAAGAGAGTGTGCGAAGTTTTCTCTCTAGAAGTGTCATTCCGCGCTTGAAAACTTAATCAAATAATTGCTTTCAATGACTGGCTCCAAAGAATTCAGAACTTTCTGTGCGAATTGAGCAGATGGAGTCGTCATTCTGTCGATGAAACTGCGCATCGTGTTAATGAGAGACCTGACAAAGCGAGGACTTACCGGTCTTTGGTCGTGGAAATCTTCTGTAGATGACGGCGTACACGGCGGGGCACTCTGCACCGCGTGTGTCTTGCTCCACGTGTAGCACTTGTTCTCCCTTTTTCCCTCTCGCCCTATTCGTTTCCTCCTTTTCCCTTTCCCCGTGTAGGCTAGCATACCGGGCACAACCTGGTTAAGCTCTCTGCCTTTTCTTTGTCCCTCTCTCTCTTTTATAGAAGAGCTATGATATACAAAAAAACCCGAACAAAGGTTAATATTGGCGCTACTTTTATGTACGACGAACGGGGAATCGACGTGTGATTTGTTTTTGCATTGTACTAACGATTGAACCCAAGGTAATATGGCGATAAAGCAAGTATCAGGGCACTATTTTGTAATTGCAATCATTGTAAATGCAAAGAAATTAAAGGAGATTAAAATAGAACTGGCCGCTGGTAGGAACCCAACTTAAGACCTTCGGATACCCCCCCCCCCCCCTCGACGCTCTTAGGAAACCGTCAGTCATATGTTATCTGAAGAAGGGGCGTTACCCGTCCGGTGTATGTACTATATATTCAGAACTTTATACAAGGATGTCATTTGCTTGCGCAAAAAAGAACCTTTCTCGTTCCTCGTGGGCGTTTGAGCGGATGTATAGTGTTGCACACTGATGTCACTCGCGGCGAGTTCCTATACTCGCTCAGAAGGAATTCCGGCCGTCGACACGGCGCCTGCCGTCACAAGACTAAAAAAAAAGAGGAAATAAACACACGCACACACATACACACCACATCGCGCCGGTTCTTTCAAGAACGGCTTTCATCGTCGAAATAAACGAACGTAGCTTGTCGCAAGGCGATAAATGGAGATCGGCTAGTTTCTTGCTATGAAAATCAACGAAAAACCACGCCGCAAGTGGGCACGTCAGTGAGAGGGTAGACTAAAGGCCTGGTCCCCCGTATCTGGTGCAGTGCGTCGGTGGTGTGGTTTTTTGACGCGCTGCAACGAATACGTGGAGTCAGCCCTGAAAGACAGTTGTCTCGATCACTTGAAGCGCCATGATTAAAGCACTGCACGGGCCCGGGCTGGCCCTACAGCCCGGATTAGACCCGGGGCCGGGTAGGGCCGGTTAACGTATTGTTGGGTCGGGCTCGGGCCCTTGAGCTTTGGGCTCGAGTCGAGCTTGGGTCAGGACCATTTTAGGCCCGAGTCTCATATATATTGGTATAATGTCTGCGCTGTATAGCTTTGTTTTCTTAAAATTAATATTTCAAATAATTTTGTATACTGAAAAGCTGACGCCTTATGAAGTGTTATCAACTGACGCATTAGAATATGACTGATCCGCGTAAAATGTCCTTCCACTTGGGCGCTAGCCCTGTTGAGTGTTGGCTTCTCCACCTGCCACTTTCTTTACCCACCATAGACACCGCTTTTTCCTTACGGCCAGACTTCACTACCCTGTTGGAGAGATAGAGAGGATAAAGAAAGAAAAAGATGCAACGTCTGTCGCTCAAGTTGGGAGGAGCACGGCTCAGCGCCATCTCGTTCGCACCGAAGCTTTCTGTCGAGGCCTTCTGCGTCCGCGACCTGCGGGTGATTGCTCTCCGGATATCCGACATGCCCCTTTCTACGAGGAGCGCTGAAGAAGCTGCCGGCTGATTCCCTTCGGCGCTCTAGCACAGCTGTTTGCAAAGTCCTTAGCCCGTTCTTGCTTTAAGGCATAACACTTTTAAAGATGGAAGGCTGTCACACGATGATGACAAGATAGGCGTGCTGAACGTACAGCCAGTACCGTAGCTCACTCGGTGAATGGTGTGGCTTACTTCGGCAGGTCTATGAGACTGTGGTTGGTAGTGTTGTCCCCTGGAATAAGGATGTCTCAAAGAACCTTCTTGTTTTGAGCGTGAAAACGTAGGGTATACGCTGGGGACCGTTGCCTTTCGAGGAGTCGACGAAGTAGTTTTAATTTGTGTTACGCTGCTGACCCTGGTGAATTCCTTCCGGAAGAAGCTAGAGTACGTTTTTTTTTCATTGCATTGTGGAAAAATGAAGTTTGCATGCGACTTGATACTTTTTCTCAACATCCCCAGCTCGTATTCAGTATAACTAGACTAAAACTATAAATGTCTTCCATTGTTCCCGCTTAATGGGGGTATTATATGTTTATGTTGTTCTTTTAAATGCAAAAATCCGTGGTTAGCACTGCGCACATGAACCAGCTAGATATGACTCAAAATATAATTTATATTGCCTTGCGATTATTTCGTGTAAGTATTACTGGCGTAATTAACCGAAAGTATACGCAGTACCAGAAAGGTCGTGCCACTGAAAGAAGTTAGCGAAACACTACTAAATATCTCGTTTGTGGCAGGTATATGCATAATGACTGAAGATCGAAAAGCGCCTCGTTTATGCTCAAGGCATAGACGTAATTGGCTGAAACGGGACCCGGGCCGGGGACGGGCCATATTTTAGAACTCCGAGCCGGGCTCGGCTGGGCCGGAGCATGGCGTTTTCGGGCCGGGCCAGAAAAATCGGCCCGCGCAGTGCTCGAAGCACCGTCGTCGCCATGATCATTATAATTATTCAGCTTCATCATCGTTATTATTGTCATCGTCATTTTCGAGCATCATTTAGTGTAATCATTATGATACCGTGACCGTCGTCAACGTGTCGTCATATTTAATTCTTTGTCGACGCCAGTTCTGGTGACGGGAACTGCGTTACCCCGGAGAGACATGGCCAGCGTAGAAGAGTGTGGTTGTAGAAAGGAGATGATGATGTTAATAATAATAATAATAATAATAATAATAATAATAATAATAATAATAATAATAATAATAATAATAATAATAATAATAATAATAATAATAATAATAATAATAATAATAATAATAATAATAATAATAATACCTGGCGTTTGACGACCCAAGAGAGTGAGAGATAAAGATGCAAGAAAAGGCAGGGAGGTTAACCAGACGAACGTCCGCTTTGCTACCTTGCACTGGCGAAGGGATGAAGGGGAGAGAAGAGGTAAAGAGGAGTAAAAAGTGAAAACTGCGATATGACTATCAGAGATGCCGTGGTGAAGAGCTCCAGAAATTTCAACCATCTGGGGTTTTTAAACGTGCGCTGTCATTGAACTGTATACACAGTGCTCTTTTGTTACACCTTCATCAAAATGTAACCACCAGGATCTAACCCGGAACCTTCAGGTCGACAGCCCAGCACTTTAACCACTAATCCACCATGGCGGCCATAGGAAAAAAAAACAGCACTAATATAATTGTACCTTATTAATTGGACGTACCTGCCTGTAGACAAGAGGCTGATAACCAAGCAGGCTTCAGAGAAAAACTTTCCCAGCCACGTCACCCTGGGAAAACCTCACTCAGCCATAGTGGTACAGTAGAGCCCACGGAATCACTTGAAGCGCAAGGAGTGAGTGAAACAACTTTATTGGCGCAAGGAGCGAGAAAACGGCGGCGAACAGCGTTCGAGAGAGTGGTGAAACCACACCACGTAGAGATCGGCTTTATTCATCAGTTTTCGGAGGCACAGATGTATGGGTTACAAAGAGTTTTTGTGGGTGCCAGTTGGAACATACTGCATGCAAAAGACAGCGCTGCGAAGTTGAAAACGCGGAGTGGACGAAGCACGTATATAAAATTATTTAATAAACAAAAAAAAAGACCAAAAAAGGGGGCAGGA